GCCCTAATTAGCATATGAATGCAGCAAACCCGCGCGGCTGGCCAGGTCTGGCTTGAATAACCTTCTCAGTATTGGCTGAAACCACTATTCCATTGACTACATTCATTTCTTTGGTCTAACCCTCACCATTACCAACTCATACCTCACCCTAACCAGGGGATGATCTAGCATTCTGGGAGCTCAGGGGCTTAGCCCTCAGGTTGAAGATGAGACTGTAGACTTTCTGGTAAATCCTGTTCTAATAAATATGACATATTACTGGATTAAAGACATTTCTAGAATACTACATGCTATCACACATCACAATTCCTCTCCATAACACAGAAAGAAATCAACTTACCTGCAAGTCTTTAACTTTGTTTATTCCTCGCTTCATGAACACCAAACTCTGTAGATTTGGTGACATTTGATCATAATTTAAGTTATAAGAGGGAAACCAAATATTTTAGCCACCTGATATAATCCATTCCCCCATAACATGGGAAAAAATGAACAAATCCTGTGAATTTTGAAACTGTCATTATTTTTTCTATATTATTTTTGAAGCATCTTTTATTTTGTATTTTGAAATCCAAAATAGGTTAAATAAATATGACAATTGGTTTTATGATCTGTATTTTCAATTCTCAATTCGAGCAATGCTACTCCAGACATTTTAAATTGAGAAAACGTTTTGTATGGAGAACCAAGCATCTTTAAACTGGGAAAACAAAGTGGTTTTGTTTGGTTTTTACTTTTTTTGGAATATTTGTAAATTGTTAGATGAACATTTGAACAGAAAAGGGAAACGGATTATATCAGGTGGTTAAAATTTATGATTCCCCTCTCATAACTCTGGCAAATAATGATTAAATGTCACCAAATCCACAGGGTTTGTTGTTGAAGAAGAGAGGAATAAACACAGATAAAGACTTGCAGCTAAATTAATTCCTTCCCATGTTATTGAGGGGGAACGGATTATTTCAGGCAGCTGAAATATCTCTCCTCTCCTCCTCCCATATCTTTGGGAAATAAAGAGCAACTGTTTTCAAATTCTCAACAATTGTTTATGTGTGACATCATGATACTAGAAATTCCGTAAAAGTTCAGAAAAAAGTTCAAAAAAATCCACTGGACTTGGTTTCCAAGATTTGAAGACGTTTCGCCACCTCTCCAGGAAGCTTTCTCAATTCCTGGAGAGGTGGCGAAATGTCTTCAAATCTTGGAAACCAAGTCCAGTGGATTTTTTTGAACTTTTACAGAATGACTATGACCTGAATGACTGAGAATCTTCATCAGATACTAGAAATGACTATAATCCAGTATTCTGTCATATTGTACATTAGAAAGGCATTTACCAGAAAGTCCACACTCACATCTTTTGAGGAACTCTTAATTTTTATGTCCTGCTATCAGCCAGTTTCCATCCTCTTATATCACCAATGAGAAATGATAAATACTCACTACATGTTGGAAAATAGTGTTTGGTGACTTTTATTTCTGTCAGGCTGAAGTGACAGAAGTTGGAAAAAGACAGATTCTCCTGGCGTTTAAAAAAACAACACTAAACAGCTTAAAAAGGACCTCGTTTATTTATTTATTTGACAATTTTGTAAACAACAGTTGGCGATTAAACTGGATGTTACAACCTTGACATGATTATATGAGTTGTTTTTACTAAGAAATCGATCTATCCGCCAAGTCGGCCTGTGTGGCTTCAAAGCGTGCTCCCGACACAAGGGAAACATGAAACACCGGGACAAAGAACGTCTGGAAGTCGGTCAGAGCTTCATATTGCTGAGACATCGGCTCTGTTCGAAAACCTAGGACGCATCCTCCAAGGACGCGGTCTACCTAGACTGGATCCTTCGAAGTCCTTGAAAATAAGGAGACCGGAAGAGTTCTGGCTGTATATTCGAACAGGTCCACCCTTCGGCGGGTTTTACCGCCGTATGCTCTGTTGCTTAGCAACCGTAAACGTTGACACACAAAGCAGAAAAAGAATGAATACAGAAGTTTTCAAAACTGTTTAGTTATTTCTTTTTTATTGTAAAGTGAACAAAGACTACACTCACAAGAATCCAGAGTGGAATAAAGGTTCCATCCACCGGGAGCAGGAACAAATAAAATCAAATGTAATGATAGAAACCTTAGTCAGTTAAATAACATGCTGCTGTCATTTTGTTCATCTCTGATGTTGCTGCTATTTTCAAATATCCATTACTGTAAAAATGTCCATAGCTGCATGTTGGTTATTTATTCTCCAGTTTTATATTGTTAAAACACTTTACAGAATTGTATTGTTTATATTTTAACTCTTCCCTATTATGTTATTCTTATACATTTCTCTAAGCTCCACATTTGTGTGACCATTTCAATAATCTTTCTGCTGCTGTAAATTTGCCCATTGTGGGACAATAAGGAGATTTTCTATTCTATTCTATAAAAGGGGTAAAAAGATATAAGTAAATCTAAACAATGTATTTATAAAAAATATATCTGAAAAATCTCTAATATTCAAAAACAAAAAATACGTAGTTAAGCATATTGTGCAAAACAGCAATAAAAAGATAAAAATCCTATCAGATTTACAGTCCCCACACTGCAGATCTATTAGAATCTGTCCTTAAATTACAGCCAAACCCATTTACACAGTAACAGATAAAAACCTTTAGATAAATCGAACACTACCGCCACATATCTGACTCAATAACCATTAAAACAACAATTTTTCAACTGAACTTCCAATTTTCACCACTGTTCGGCGCCAAGTAACCTTTACTCTGATCACAGCTTGCTTGGTCTCGCAATGAATCCTGGGATATCCAAGGATACCGAGGATACATCGGACCCGTCCTTCAAATCGGGAAAAAGAAGGACGCGTTTTAAGGGCGCATAACGAGGACTCTTGGAATCCGACCAGACCTCGGCGCCGCGCTATGACGTAATCAGCCTTCGAATCCGGTCTTCTAAGGATGCGTCCTAGGTTTTCGAACAGAGCCATGAGTCTCAAGAAGAAGTGACAACTTCTTCTTCTGCGTGGTAATGCTACAGGCTGCTTTCCTGCACAGCCTGCCACCATGTGGTGAATTCCAGTACTGCACATTTTACTCAGATCAGCTCAGAAGTGAGATCCGGGGCTCTTGGGGAAACATTCGGGGCTGTAGCCCAAGTAGCCGCCTCCCTAATCCACTACTGACCCTAACCCTCATTTCTGTGGTCTTACCATTACCAACTCATACCTAACTCTAACACTTACTCCAAAGGACTGGGTATACCCCTGTAGCATTGTGTCGCAGTGACCTTGATGCAGGTATGATGCAGATATTTTTGATTTATGCCCAATATTGAAGCGTGGACAAGGGACAATCAGGAACCAGCTGTGGGTCTAGACACGGCAGAGGCAGTGAGGAACTGGGGGAAGTTTGTGCGACAACGGAGGGACATGAGGGCGAAAAAGAGTGGGGATCCAGGTGGAAAAAGGGTCCCAGCGTTCGCACGCACCTCGCTCTTCTAGTTGGTCCATTTTAACAAATCATTTTCGACAATGGCGGTCATACAAACAAAACAAGCCGGTAAGGTACCAAACAGGAAATACGCATAGAGTAGAGTGGATTTAGATTTGACCAATCAGAGGCCTCCTGTCTGCGGTCACCTACCATTCTTGGGAGGTGCACCAGAGTGTCTTTGGAAGGGGCAGGGGTATATCTGCGTTAACTACGACACACACGCAGTCCACCTGGTTTCTGAGCATAAACCAGCCTTAAACTAGGATTTTCTGTCGGACCAGAAACATAATCGGATTCGGTGTGTTCTGGCCTCAAGATTAAAATAAAATGATTCAAAGTAATCCAAGACTAGTTGAACATGTTCGCTAAAGAACAAACATTACAGTTATAGATTCCTAAGCTTCAGCAAAGCAGAGTACATGAAAAGCATTTGTTGAGATTTATTTTTTCATGTTTAGCAACTTTACTTGGAAAAAAAAGATCCGAGAAAAAAAAAAAAACCCATAGAGAAAAAAATAATTATATCAGATTAATTTGTGATTGGTAAGTTCCAGTGAAAATCATGCATTTCATTAACATCTTCCTGTAAACTCTCATTTTATCAGGTCCTGTTTTGTAAAAGGGAAATCTGCAGCAGCCTGTCCGATTCTACGCAGTAAATTCTTCTGCTTTTGAGGTCCATAAAATCCTCTGCTGGCTCCTTGACTTTATTCTATAATTGAGGCGTGAAACAGCTGACAGGCACAGACAAAGCTGCACACCATGGAGACGCACAGAGATGCAAAGAACCAGTGCACGGTGATCACACATGGCATTAGGCAGAGCTGAAGGAGTCGGATAGAAGTAGCAGAGAAGCCTTTCTAGGAGTATCACTCTGTGAACTAATGGATAGTATGCAGTGTAGTGAAGGTGTCTGCTACTTCCTGCCTCCTATTCTGTGGGCCTGAGGGTGTGGAAAAGACGCCTTATAGGGAGAAGCTAGTTAAAGCCCTATCGGGTCATATTTCTGGCTTCCAGCAGTGGATTACGTGGGAGGTTTCATCTTTATGTGAGGTCAAGAAGTTCTGAGGATAGTCAGCTGAACATGAGATAAAAGTACAATTGAAAGGCAGACGCTCTGTGCGCACAGAGCCAAAAGTAAGCTCCATGTTTTGTCTGCTGTGAAATAAAGTTAGCCTGTGATGAAGAGCTGTATAACATCCCAGAGTTTTGTTTGCTAACCTCACCCACATGTTTTTTTTTTCTTCTTCCTAGTCATTCACATTTCAGAGCTGCTGTCGGATTAAAGAGAGGGGGCGGGGGAGGAACAGATAGGCAGGAGCTCTTTGAAGGAGCACACAGTCTAAAGTTTCTCAGAAATGTTAATGACGGCATAGTTTTTCTCATTGTTTAGACTCGAGTTCCAGCTTTTCGTTTTCACAAGATTCAACCTTAAGGAATTTAAACTTCCAATGGATCTAAGAAGACTCCATCTGCTCTCAATCCTGTTGGTTTTTGCTGTTTTATCTGCAGCACTGGGGAACCAGACAGGAAGGATCAAGGTGGTCTTCACACCCACCATCTGCAAGGTGACCTGCATAGGAAGCAGATGTCACAACAACTGTGAGAAGGGAAACACCACCACCATCATCAGTGAGAACGGCCACACCACAGACACGCTGACAGCTCCAAACTTCAGAGTAGGTAAGGGATCCTCACAACCATTGCTTTAATCTTTAAGATTTTATGCTTTTCTACAAAACGTCCTAATGGTTTTCTAATGACTATAAAGATGGTGGAAACTTAATTCTTGAGAAGCTCACAACAGAGATATTTACAATTTAGAGCCAAGCTTGACGTCTGGATTATTAATTTTTTTGTTTGTTTGTTTTGTTAGCATTATTTTCAGTTTTGCTATATATGCTGGAAATGAAGCTAAATTAAAATGTTGATTCTAAGTAGTCTTGTGCCGATGCCATTTTTTGGCCCCGATATCGATACCCGATATCTGGCTGTGCAGTATTGGCCGATACCATCTGTTTGAAATTGATGTGTGTGTGTGTGTATATGAAGAACTGCATGGATGTAAAATAATTGCCATCATGGCTTTGTCAAGCTGCTGCCTACCTTTGTGAAGCAGGAAAAAGACTAAAACAAAGTGAATCCAGTAGAACTTTTTATTGCCTACCTGGAATGGTTGATAATAGTTGATTAGCGTTTTGGCTCTCAAAATGGTATTAGTGTCCTATTTGTTGGTACTCACCGTTACCGATACAACACTAAAACAACACTAAAACCTACAAAAGCAGTTAAAGCAGTTTGTTTTTCCTAAAATAAGTATATTTCCCTCATTTGATCAGGTAAGACAATGTCCCAATGGAATAAGATGATTTACAATTAAAATAAGAAAAATGAATTAGTTATCTTCTCCCAGCTTTTCTTACAACTTATCTTATTTACCTGCACATTCAAGAAACCTTAACTGCTTTTTAGATCATTCTTTACAGTGGAAATTACTAAATGGGGATTTCAATAACACAATATCAGTCTTCTAATATCCATTTACAGTAATCTAATCTAATTCTATAATTTCAGTAATTTTTCTTTTGTGGAGACTTAGGCTACACTTAGCCTAACACTGAAGGCCTCGATGCTCAATTCCGATTTTTTTCATGAAATCTGATTTGTTTGTGTTGCCGTTCACATTTCCAAATATATGCGACTTGTATGTGATCTCCTGTGTGAACTGCAGTCATACAACGCAAGTATCCCACATGCGCAGTAGAGGATGCAATGACATCACAAGCCAGCGTGCTCTGTGCTTAGAGAAGTAAACATGGATGGTAGTGCCGGAGAGCATCTAGCGATATTTTCCAACCATAAAAACACAATCTTTTCAAGATGGTTAAACATAATCGTCTGTTTTTCTTGCTGATCCTTTTTGGAATGACCTTGAGCAGGTCGGGTATTAAGGGCATTCAGGTTGGATGAATGCGACCTGGCCATTCAGACACAGGTCGCATTTCAAAAGATCAGATTCGTATTGGATTCAGGACCACGTAGCAAAGTGGCCTGGGTTTGTTCAGACAGCCATGAAAAGATCAGATACAGGTCGCATATGGGCCAAAAAAATCGGATTTGGGTCACTTCAGGCTGTAGTGTGAACGTAGCCTTAAAGCAGCAGTTTGTAACTTCCAAACCAAGTACTTAATTAGTTGAAAATAGCTGAATTAAGGGGTTTTCTGTGGCCTTCAGTGGAGCTGATCCTGGAAATTATAGGTCTAGCGCCCCTTGTGGCTAAAAGTAACGCAGTGCTGCTCAAACCCCTGTCAATGTTATTCAGTCCTCAATAACATTTTGCACTAATATGATTAAGCGTTTTTTTCTTCTTCTTCTTCTTGCATTTCAGTAAATAAGGTAAAAGCTTGGAAAAAGATTTATGTCTCAGGCCAGGTAGTTAAGTCAGGGCTCAGGTTTAAGACAAAATCTAGTCAAGCTTTAATATCTTTTAATTTTGCAATTAACTGCAAAGCGAGGTGCCATATTTGGCATCCAGGGCTTGACAATTAACTTTTTTACTTGCCACGGTGGCTAGTGGTTTTCAGAGTTACTTGCCAGTTAGCATTTTTGCTAGCCACAATTTTGTTGTTAGAAAATTTGGTTTCATTTGATTAAACCTGTGGCTGTATGGTGGCTCAGTTTCTATAACCTTTGCCTTACATAAGATGGATTCCTGGGCTGGGGTCTTTCTGAATGGAGTTTGCATGTTTTCCCTTCTCTCTGGGTTCTCTCTGGGTACCCCAGCTTCCTCTCACAGTCCGAAAAAAACATGACCGTTGGGTTAATTGGCTTCTCTAAATTGTCCTTAGGTGTGAGTGTGTGTGTGTGAATTGACGTATGGCTTTGTGTTGCCCTGTGATGGACTGGGGACCTGACCAGAGCGGACCTCGCTTTTTACCTGTAGTCTGCTGCATCACCCCTTGAGCGCCAATGTGACCTTGTTTATTTTCCCGAAGAGATAGGAGATGTAAAAAAATGTCAAGGCGACAGGACCCCAGCTGAGCCTTCAAGGATGTGCACCTCTGTATGGAGCCGACCATTGAGCTGTTATGCTTTTATTTCGTTGATTGCCTTGAACGCAACGTCTAGGGATTGGTGGAGTGATGGGGATACGTTTTTTGGCCACCATGTTGTATCTGCCAGCCATAGTTGCCACTCCACCCTTGGCGCAGGCAATAATGTTCATCATACCAGGATTTCCCTCTTCTGCAGGATCTTAGTCAAGTCGGAGTCCATGGTTTCCCCTTCCTCTGTCTCTGGTAAGGTATTCCTCGGAAGAAAATTCTCAGCCAGGCCCCTCCTGCACACATAATGAACATAAGCCATCAGGAGGACATTGTTGTCGACCATGTTGGTCTCATCTACCTGGACACTGAAGGGACAGTTATGCAACATCAGGGTTTCCTCACTATTACCCAGTTGTGGAAGTATCGGACTCGGGTTCTTCAACTGAGACAGCAGCTTTATTTTGTGTGGGGAAACTATGAAAGTAAAAACTTTAGAGTTAAAACTAATTTTGTACAAGCAAAATGATGGCACCCCAATACCAGCCCTAACACATCTACCACCCCCCAAAATGTTTATAATGCCCACCATGCTCTAGAGGGTCTGAAAAGTCGCTTAATATAGGGTTGGACAGTGCTTTAAACTGCCATTTTTTCTGTCTGCTCTGCAGACTGCGGCTTTGAATGTGCTGAAACAGCTTCACAACTTTTTTCTCTGCAGGAACCGCCTTTCTGAAGTGTCATCGGACATGAACAAGCAAACACTGTGCTCAGTGGGTGCTCATGGAACATCTAGTGCCACAAAGTCCCATTTTGTTTTTTTCTTATTGGTTTAGATGATGTTTAAGAAAAATACAATTAAAAAGTAAATATAATCCAACCTGCCAAAGTGGCAAGTACCCAATATTTAATGCCCTAAAATTAAATTTGATTCGTAATCAGTGGCTATGTTGATGAATTTTCTCAGTCATTCAGGTCATAGACATTACAACAAATTGTTAAAAAAAACAATCCACTGGACTTTGTTTTCCAAATTTGAAGTCGTTTCGCTTCCCATCCAGCGCTGAGTTCCAGGCTTATAGAGTAGCCCAACAAAAGCCTTGTTATGGCTTAGAAAATCTGCAAATTGAACCGAAAACAGGTCCACCATCTAATAATGGGGAGTCATTGAGGTTGTTGTTGTTTTTAACTTTTTTGAAAGAGTGGCTAAAGGTCAATTTATGCTTGGCTCTCTCTAACTGCTTCTGCATTGGACGGTCGCAAACCTGCGCAGACCTCAAGCAGAAGTGCGCAGACTAACAGTTGTGATTGGTCCCTGGTATGCTTTTCCGGCTGTCTGTGTGGCCATCCTTCTTGATTCGTACCGGGGCGCACCATTTTTAAAAACAGAGTAACAAGTACAATGGGGGACAAAAGGTTAATCGAGGAGGTTCGGAAGTACAACCACTTGTACGATGCCTCAGAAAATTATATAAATACTGTTATTTATATAAAGATGCCAACTCCTGGAGGGAGATCAGCCAAGTCCTTGAGCGGGATCCAAAGGATTGTTTACAAAGGTGGAAGAGACTTAGAGATAAATACGTGAAGTTCTTGTGAGTTCTCGAATAGGCTCCCACCTGCGCTTTGGCGGGAAACTGCTGTGTGTCCCTATAAATTCCATACCGACGTTGCAGAAGCATACCAGCAAAAGACCCAAGCTACATTTGATGTGTGCGGATGCAGAAGTATAATCTGCCCTTTAGAATACAGAATTTCATCCTGTTACAAAATACTAATTTGTTCCTTAATACTAATGCTATGTTCACACCACAAGCAGCAGAGGCAGCTAGTTTAAATGCAAAGTCAATGGTTGACTGGCATCTTGGTGCACCAAAAGGTCCTGCAGCGCGTTAAGAGAAGCTGAAGCGGCGCGTTGTGAGCTTCTGACACATCAACCAATCAGAGGAGCTGATCTGGGAGCTGGCAGGGAGACAGACTATGATCCCTACTCTGAAACAGTTTATTAACGTCTAGCGTTTAACGTTTATCGAAGTACCTGTTTTATTCTGGTGCCTGCAGTTTGGATTACATACATGAAAGACGCCTTCCAGCCGCTGTGAACAGTAGCGGAAAACCGTGAAGAGGCGACCGGACCAGAGGCTGCTGTTGAACTGGATTCCCAGTGACAGCGCTGCGCCAGTGTACAAGTGTCTGAGCGGCTCTGACAGAAATAATATTTGAAGGCAGGATGGTAATCTAGATGAACTGACTGCAGAGATGAAGTTTTCAGGACTTTCTCAATTAAAAAATATTCAAACTACTTTTTACCCACTGATCACAGCAAATATAGCTGCCATTGTTACAGGCAAAGAAGAATAGGGTAGCTCCATCCAACACGCATCAGACCCACTTTTCTACCGCGCAGCTAGAGCAGCAAAGATGCTTCAGTCGCACGTTTTTGCTGCTCCTGCTGCGTGCGTTCTGAACGTAGCTTAATTAAAACAAACTCTGCTAAACTATGTGTGAGATTGTTAAACTAATACTTCATCTACTGCGGGCACTGGGATTAGGATCCGAGGTGAATTCCCATTGTGTGCGAGCCAAAGCTGAGGGTTGTTCTTGATTCATGCAAATTTGATTTATGTACCAGCTAACGCA